GCGTAAAAAAACTAATACAAGCCATTAACTAAATAAGTTGTAAATCAAAGAGTAAAATCCGGTCACATGATTTTCCCATGTTGCAGTCTTTGACAAGTTTCGGTTCTGCTTGTTTTAAGTTTTGCCTCTACAAAATGCTAAAAAATTTCAGGTAAGTGCTGGTATCATCTTTTTGAAATTTATATCCAGCAAAGTTTATGAAATTTGCTATATTATGTAGAAAAATCATGAAATTTGAAGGTTGCGAAGTATAGTTAATTTAATCCGCAATATTACATGATGTGAAAATTACCACAGGGAAATAGCTTTGCCCTGATTAGTCACAGGCTATGTGAGCCGGACAATAGGCTGAGCACACAAAGACACACAGGGTGCTCTGCTGCGCCTGAGTGATCACTGCTGGTCAGTGGGCACAGGTTTTGAGCTGAGAAGTGTGGACACTTTTGGTGGATTTTTGCAGTTAAAAAACTTCAATATCTTTGTTGCTTGTAGGAATATTTAAAAAATTCCAAATGATTTCATCCGGTTTTTGCATTACCTTTCAGATGATATAAGTATTTTAATTTTCTGATCAGTTTGAAAATTTTTCTGATATACCTAGTAAAGAGGTCCTTTCCCTCTGGCTCATCTGTCTGACTTTTCTGTCTTTAAGTAACGGTAAACTTTACCTTTAACTACAGATAGTTACCCACCTGTTCAGCAGTGTGTTTCTATTATTCACCGGCCAAGATAATCAATTTTTTTGCTCTTCCAACAAATAATGATTTTGGCCTATATATTCTTATCGACCGTGCAAATAATATACAACATCCGGGAAATCTATACAAATGAAAATTACTCCACACCGATGCTGCGAGAGCAATGTGAAGGTCGGAAGTGGCTCAAATGCCTTCTGATAAAATATGCCTTGGAGACAAATTTTGAGGCAAGTTGACAAATAACATTTGCTTAAAATCTTAAGAACATTGGCTGTTTAATCGTCTGTATATAATACCCGCCAGTGTTTTAATGAAACCGTTAAGAAACTAAGGAAAATGCCATGTTGTTGCCGAGATTTAAAAAGTGTCTTGGCCTTAGGAACATGTAGTTATCATTACACATTGCGTAAGATGAAAATGCATTTCCACTAAAATATTGTTAAAATTTTTGTGCTGTGTTTCGCTATCTATGCCCGGTTAGTTTTATATATCAATTTTCTTTTAATATAAAGGCAGCTACTGAATAACCCACATCTGGAACAGAAGGTGAGATATGGCTAAACCCGAACGATATTGATTTTTTTTAAGATAAGTTGGTTGTCTTAACAAATTAAATCAAATATTGGTCAGAAATCAGTTTGGGTTTGTCTTATACTGAAACTAACTTGTCAGTTAAATTAATTTAATATTACATTAGAGATGCGTCACAACAATCAAACCGTTACAAGCACATTTTAAGATACTCGAAATCACTTCATTGCAATTTATCTTTGTGTTGTATTTCAAGTTGGCAGATTCATACATTATCAGGCGGGCAGCACAAATCACAGCATATTTCATGCATAGAGGGAAACAACTTAGTAAGTAAATCATGTTTTACTACTGTATATCGCTAACAATATATTAAAAACTTGTAACATATCTTAGTAGACCTACCCCAGTTCTCTTCTGTATCAGTGCCTGAATATTTAAGCAGTATAAAACCCAAAATATAAGCATGATAAAACAGAAAAATTATCATAAACTGTTCTGGTTATTGGTGTTCATTATGAAGCCTTCAGCTTGTCTTTTACACTGTCCGTCGCACATGAATTATAATGCTGTGAAGTACTGTAAATGATTCGTAATTTCTTTTTCGTGAATTTTAAGAAAAAAAAACAACAAAATGAAAAAAAAACTACATTTTCAAACATACAGTTTATAATTAATTTCATATGCAGTTTAGTCTTGAAAGTAATAGTAGTACACTGTAGGAAGCAGTTGAGTGTTGGGTATCCAGTTTGACATCACATTTGCTTTAACCTGTACTTCTCATTTAAATCTTCTACACCATTATGCTTTAGATTTTAAAAAGTGTTTTTTTGTAGTGTGTTTTACATGTCATTCAAGTTTAAATGTATAAGACAATATCTGAAAGGCGCACAATAAGTATTCAAAGGTCAAACATGCAATTTTATGCCTTAAAAACCACATACTGCAAAAATAAGATTTATGCATTGAAAAGAGGATTATATGTTAAAAATGGATTTTTTTTTTCTCTAGCTCAGGACAAGGTAGATGAACTGGCAAAAACCACCTCCAAGACAGGATCTAAACTTGACTCCTTTAAGACTACATTTGCCAAGGAACTTAAAAGGGAATGGGACAAAGAAAAGAAAAAGCTAAAATGACAGCACTAGACTTGGACCGCTTGAATTATTTACACATTATTCAGTATTTAAACAACACTTGTAAAATGATATTGAGCTTGTGATATCCATCTTTAATATAGATTTTATAAATATATCAGCCTGACGGCATTGGGTCTGTATTTAAGTAATGGCAACTGTAAGATTTGGCTGGCTTGTAAAGAAAGGAATCCAATACAGCAGTAGGGGAGGAAATAACCATACATGACTGATTGAATGATGACAGAGACAATATCCAATTACCAAGCTAATGAACATTTTTGCTGATTTATGAGAGAGGGGGTAGTTTTGAATTTTGTGCCGGTGCTGATGAAATGAAGCAGTTTCCCTTGGAAAGGAAAGGAAAGGGGTGGAGAGGTTTGCTTTTTACTGAAATACACCTGATCAGGGGTCTGTACCCTGGGGTTCATATGCTAGTAAAAGCAACAGAGATGGTGAATGCACAGAGGGGTGTTTTCAGTGGCCTTTTGGGTGGGTGGGTGGGGGGTGGGGTCTGGCTCACTGCAATTTTTATTTTACTTTTAAACTACAGAAAACTTAGATTGTTAAAATTGTGTCATCTGTTGGGAGATAGGATCCATGACAAAATTTGGCAGTTGTACATGTAGTCCAGATAACATCGGCATAAACCCACTTTGGAATCCACGAAATAATATAATACTTGAATAATATGATACTAGAAGTTTATTTATTTTAAATTTTTTGACATTTTTGTACCAGTTATATGTCATTAATCTACTGCAATAAATTGTTCTTTCACGAAATTGTTTTTGGTTTTGTTGGAGTCTTTCTATTATCGGAACGGAACGTTACATTAGCAAGGTATTAGATAAGATATCTTATTTCTTGGTACTAGCGACTGACATTATAATGACAGACGCGTTCATATGGAAAAATCTTTTTCAGAATATTCACAGTCACCGCCATGCGCAGAATATTTAACACAATGCGCTACTAGAATTACGATCTTTGACACCCGAGATCTAGGATGAAAATTAGCCCCTTTTTTCAGGGATTCTCGCTCTTTTCTAGTTTTGTATAACGATACGTCGTTCACTGTCGTCAGCAACTCGCAAGTCCGTAATGAGGCGTAAAGTCGACAGATCTGAGTAGATGTTGTATTTTTCTTGCGGGTTTGATTTACCTGTCGTGAACCCGGCAGTTCCGTCAAGACGCGTTTCGTTGGCTGACGTCGGCGGTGGGGAACTGGTGTGACAGGAATGAAGTCCTCTAGGAACTGTAGTCTGCTTATTTGTACAGGTGACATACGTTCCATATACTAACCCCAATACTCCAACTAACCCTAACCTGTACTTCTCATAGGGGAGCCCGGACTTCCGTTCCTATGACAACCATTTCTATCACACCTAGACGCCCGTCTACAGCATTTGTGATAGGCCACGGTGAAGACTGTAGGCTAGAATGATACTAGGACATCTCCATAGGTTTAGAGGATGTGAAGACGGAATCTCTGAACGTTTCTTGTTCTACAGCTTGTGGTGAGGGTGGAGAGTTGGGGCCTTGCGGCGTGACTGACACGCCTAACTCAGACGAGAGTGGAGAAACAAGATGCTCAGACGTTTGTTCTGAAAACGGCGTGGCTGAAACATCGTACGACTGACTAGTATTTTCTCCATTCACTGCAGCAGTCTCTCTTTTACTGATATAAGCTTCTGAAAAAAAAAAAAACACTTTTTAAAATTATTCTTGATTTTTTGTATGTGCTCCACATTAAATATGGAGATTTAAATAATTACAGCGGGCTACAATTTTAATAATACTCGGTTAATACATGTATGAGCTAGAAACACTATTATTAAAAGCGCCGCCATGGTTTCATAATATCACAGAATATAGGCCTATCATATGAATAAAAAAACTTACGCTGATTGCTTTATATTTTATTTGACAATACCCGTTTGCTCCTACAACAATAATAAAAAACGTTGGAACATTTCGAGCAGAGAACCAAAAGGCACCGAACCTGGGGTAACATGAGATCTTGACGACACCCGTTTATCCAGGGCACATTTCGCAGCTTGCACCATGGCACTTAGTACCAAGAAGCCAAAGATACCAGCGACCACGATTGCTGCTATTGCGATAGGTGGGAATTCTTCTGGAATGGGTGTGGTCGTTGGTTCGGTGGTGTCTGCAACGGAGGCACATTATATATCAATGCAGATGAATTAATATATAGAATTGCAAACATATTTCTCTTGCTGTGCTATTCATCAATAGCATGCACAAGACGGCACATATACTCAGTGAAAAAACCTGACGGCAACATATACGTGTAGCTAGAATCCGCCCAATTCCGTATAAATTTATTAAATCATCATCAAGTCGCGAAGAATAGAAGGAAATTTATTTGATGCTTAGTTTACTGTTCAAGTCTGTGATGTGGGTGTAGGGAGCAGCCGGTGCTGAAAGTATCTGGTTAGGGGAAAGTGAGGGCTAAATGAAAATTCTTTCTTGAACGATTTAGAAACTACAGTACATACACCATTAGCTAATCAAGGGCGAGTTATTATTTTGCTAACTTAATGTCTTAAAAAGGACACACATTTTGGCCCACACTAATACATAATATGTAAAAAAGACCTGTTTCAAAACGAAAATCCAAACTTAATCATTAATAACCATCAGCAATCCATTAAGGCCTATATTCATGCATTTGTGCAAACAGACAGGATTTGATAACATTAGTCGCCCCGACAGTCGATTTTTATATCATGCCATGGCTATCCAGTGAGTTGCCGCCCCCTCCCCTCCATCATTTGACTTTTGAAGACTCCCCCTACCCCCCTATACACAAACACACACACGCGCGCACACACACACACACACACACACACACACACACACACACACACCTCCCTACCCCCCACCCCCGCTGGAGAACTTTTCTAAAAAATCAACCCCACTGTGAAATGTTTTAGGACGAGAGACCTACCCTCCACCTACTGAGCAATATTAGCCCCCAGTGGTTGAATGACCCCTTATGTCACTTACCGTAGTCAGGCCAAGTTGACTGGAGATCCATACGCTAGCAAGCAGCCGTCCTAGAGGTAAAATTCATACAATATTCAGTGACGAACTATTAAAAAAAGGACAGTCCTTGAAAAAATGAGTGCATAAAAAGAAGAGTAATACCTTTAAAATAACGCTTTTTATGAGAAAATAAGCTTCCAAGTTTATCCCATTTATTCTTACAGGAATTTAGATAGTGGGCGTCTCGATAGTCCGAAGGTGCATTGGTCCAAAAAATGGTAACATTTTCATCGTTTTTTTAATCAAGGGTTCATTGGCCTGTCCGAAGGTGAACATATGGACCAATGAACCTTCGGACTATTGAACATTCGGAATATTGCTACGGTCCCTTTAGAAATTCTGATAACCGCTATGACACCGAAGACTTCTTTACTGAGGCGACCGATCCTAAATACTGTACATGAGCTGTTCCTTTCTACGGTTATAACCGAAAATACATATATTTACAGCCATTGCTCTTAGATCCCATACTCAAAGTGCGTGTTCAACAAGATGTCTGCTATATTTACAATATCAGCTGTCTAAGTGTGACGTGCCGCAGTACATGTTTGTACAAATCATAAAAGTTTACACAATGGAAAATTAACGTGCGCTTTGTATTGTTTCGTATTCTAAAGGTATAGGGGCGAAATAATGGCTGAAAATACCACACTACAATGCTTGATTCGCACCTAAACATTTTCTCGAATCACAGATAGAAGCTGCTAGTCGGCCAGCATTTGGGATAACGATGTAATTAATATTAAGCTTTTGTTTTGATTGTTTGGACTATCGATATAATCAAAATTATCCTGAAATTACTGAAAAAAAATTCATTTTCAACATACCATTAGTCATAAAATTATCAGTTTATTTTATCATTGTACAATATCACAAGTTATAAAAAGACTGTGTTTTCTAAAGACTTTTGGGTTATTGCGAAATTTCCCAATCGATAGTGTAGGTCGGTTCACGTGTATGTTTACATTGCTATTGTCGATGTATTATTCAGGTAAACAATTCATGCTTAAGAGGATGAATAGGTGTTGTTCACGTCACTAAGCACCGCGTCAATACTCGGCGGACATTTTGGATCTGGCGGAAGTAGAATAGGTGATACTTGGGTTTTTTGGTACTGTGGAGAGTTTACACTGTCATCAAATTACGACTTAAGGTGTGAATTTGTGAAGCGACCAAAGAAGGCTGTCTTAACCGATCTGGGTATTTTTTTTCACCAGGTATGTCATTTGAGTTATACGCGGAGATTTAATGATAAGATGCGACGTTTTATCCTCAAATGATTGTGGTTTTACATCAATAGTTTTTAGACACAGATTACCACAGCTGGTTTGAAATTTAATGCAGCCACGTGGTATGTTTTACCGAGAAAGTAGCCACATTTTACAGACAGTGACACACTAAAAACCGATTTTAAGAATGTCTAAATCACAGTCAGCATGCGAAAGGAATCCTTGATGTCCCCCTGGTGTAGATGTTGTCCTGGGGGTCGGTCAGTCATCCCACTCGTGATCAATATTTGTATAGTATCCCGGTATATGACATGCACTGCTGATACGATCTACCTATGACGGTCGAAAATGTGACAGAGTATTTGTTCCATCCATGAGAAATCACAGGTGTGCTTTACACGAGCATCACGTCAGTGAGCAAATACAGATAATACATATATGAGCTGGCATCATTGCAGCGCTCACAGTGTTTATACCAGCAGTTATTCTATCATACTATTATCATACCGCAAGCAATTATCCTTACAAAGTTAATTATCTCACTGTCAAATAAACGAGGCATGTTAAATATTAGATTATGCCAAAATAATTTGATCAGAAAGTTATGATTTGGGTGTGCAACGCCGGGAAGAAGGAAGCGTGGAAATGAAGAGAAATTGGTTTAAAAGTAGCTTTAAATCCGAAATTATGTACTGTTTTCTTTTTTAGGTGTGTAGAGTAAGCGTGAAGTGTTTAACAGTCCAACTAAATACATTTCAGCGTTTTAAAAGATCTTTCAAGTTTCTAATCCCACGATTTTTCTGTACATTTTGTCAAGGGGATTTGATTTAAGCAAATTTTTTAAACTCCAGGTTGAAGAGGCAATGGCTGCAATTTGGTGGAGAGCCTTTTCCTTATTGCTGCTGTCCGCGATAGCCGTGGAAGGTTGGTACTGGAATACCATACTGTGCTTGAGAAATATAATTGGTCCAGTTGTAAACCATGACATCTTATACGGAAAATTATATTGAAAACCCGTAGAGTCTGAAAGAAACCATGTAACGTTTTATAGAAAATTATATTGAAAAAGCGTAGAGTTTGAAGAAACCATGGCATGCTACATAGAAGATTACATTAAAAACCCGTAGAGTTTGAAAGAAACCTTGTCATGAAATGTATAAAATTATATCGAAAACCCGTATAGTTTAAATAAATAACAACATAGAAAACAGATACCAAAATTTTACCGTCTACTCAACTCACACTGAATATTCACTTCAATCTATTTCTTCCTTCATAGGTAGCACGTATTACATGGACAGCTACACAGGGTCGTGTTCCTCATACTCCTACAAGTACACATATTCCACTAGTCACACAGTGAAGGCGTGGTACCCCGGCAACAGTTACATGTCCTCTTCCTACTGCTCTCTGGTTTTCTACGCCTCTCCGTCAACAGGAAAATTGGCTTTTAGTTTTTCTTCCTTTTCTGCGACCAGCTCCATAACTCTTTCATTTTACGATGGTTCTTACACGTCGGACACCCGGTTGGTAAGTGGAAAGACGAGTCAGATTGTGAGCTTGAACATCGGTTTGGGTGCCAAGTTTATTGCTCTAGTCTTTATTTTTTTAATTTTCTTAATGGGACGTGAGGTGTACACAGAGTACAGATTTCACCTGTATTGCATCCGACGATGATGGCTCAAGCTAACGATTGCCATTCCAAGGTACGATGTAAGCTGGTTTGTAGAGTGTGTCATACTTGGCGTTGAGGTGAATTCAGAAATGATAATTTCGTTGGGAATCCTCAACACATAAAGAAGGTTTATTTGTTTTCTTGATGAAGAAAGAAAGGGGATATTTATTGTTCATTACCAACAGAAGACCAGTACATGTCATGTTGAAAATGTTATCACTGCTTCAACTGTAAAATAAAGCGCCAAGTCAAACGCTCATAACGAGAAAATAACACGAGTTCTGTTGGACAAAACTGAACCTTGTAAACATGCTCAGTTTCTGTTGCTGTTGAAATTTGCCGCAAATTTAATGTCTGCAACACGTGATAATTGAAATACATACCTATTACGTTATGTTTTTCAGCTAAGGTTAGATAACTCCAACTCGATGCCATATTCCACATATTATACGACCGGGAGCGCGTTGCGTGTCTATCTGGTCAAGACCTATTCCTCCAGCACTGGCTACAGTTTTGAGTTCAGCGTGTGGAGACACACCGGTACTTCAACCACCCTGGGGACTCTGTCGCGTAAGTATATATATATATATATATATATATATATATATATATATANACGTTATGTTTTTCAGCTAAGGTTAGATAACTCCAACTCGATGCCATATTCCACATATTATACGACCGGGAGCGCGTTGCGTGTCTATCTGGTCAAGACCTATTCCTCCAGCACTGGCTACAGCTTTGAGTTCAGCGTGTGGAGACACACCGGTACTTCAACCACCCTGGGGACTCTGTCGCGTAAGTATATATATATATATATATATATAGCCAGCTATGTCAGGAATGGTAGCCTGCTAGAGCCCTTAGTCCGGGGTCCCATATGATTAGTACAGAGCAGGGTTAGTCGTAGTTTTGGGGTCAGAATATGGGACGAATGCCACCTGTACAAAATAATTATGGGGAACGGACTACGGTTCCTAGCGGACTACCATCCCTCTTACTCGCAGGTGAAGGAATGATTCTGCATAGCAGACATCTCTGACAAGGGTGAAAATTGTGTTAAAATATAATAGGTTTGGCATTTTGTCGACATAACACTTTTTTAAATTAATCTATCCCATGGAAAATAGGGGCAGGTGGGCTCAGTATGAGGTTAATATTGATAATGTCATCTAGTATCATTAGACAGATGAATCCTCTTGCTCGGTTGTATTTCCATCTAGGTTAAATTGTATCCACATTTCTTTAAATTTAAATCTTTTAATTTCATTAATTTTTTTTTCGAGTGAAACATTGATCCATTTATTATAATCGTTTATATATCTTCATTCCCAGTTCCTATCTCAATGGACGACAGCACACAGTGCGGTAGCCAGATTAAATACGTGAACAGCGGCCAGTACCTGTGGGTGAACGCATGGGCCCCTTCTAACACCTACAGGACCTCCACCAGCTCGTGTACCATGTATTTCAGAGCGGCAATCTCCACAGACTACCTGGCGGTCTCCTTCGCTTCTGGAAGTCTTTCCATCTCCAGCAGCTACGTGACGTTGTATTTTTATGACGGGTCCAGCACCTCCAGTACTTTACTGGTGAGATTTTTTCATTTATTATTAGTGTGTGTGTGTGTGTGTGTGTTCGTTTTGGCCTGCTTAAAATTAAAATTGGTCTTAGTGAAATGATAAGTCTGTAAGTCCTATAAATTTTAGTGTCGCTTTTATTGTGAATTTTGCCTCGGATCAGACAAAAAAAAAAAAATGATAGCATATTGTTGACGACCGCTACCAAACATTATTTTAAGGATATCAAACAATATGTAGCACTTGTAAACATGTATTTATTTTCAAAGGGAAAAATCCATAGAGTATTAAGTGAGGGAATGCATAAGTAAATACAGGAAAATATAAAACTGAAAAACTTTGCTTATGTGGTTAAAACTGTACAGTCAGAGCTTTAAAAACAATATGAAAGGTGAAATATATCATTGTCATTTACATCAGTGGATTCACTTTCAGACCAGCTTTAACTCGTACACCAGCTCGCCGAGCAGTACATACTACGCCACAGGGTCCTCCCTGACTGTGTACCTAAGTAACGGCTACAGTTCGTCCATCAGTTTCAGTTTTCAGGTGTTCGCCACGTCAACTCCAGTCACCACCACTGCCACGCCGTCGTCTTCCAATAGTAAGTTTTGAAAGGGTTGACTGAAAGTTGTCGCGCTATCTCAGCCTTACATCTCGCAGGCCCGTAGCCAGCAATTTCAAAAGGGGGGTTCTTTTTCTGGAAAAGTGGACCTTTTCTATAAAAACTTCATGTACCTAGATCAAATTTTACCCAGAGTGGACCTTTACCCAGCAAAAAGGGTGGTTCTTTCGAACCCCCCGAACCCCCCCCCTGGCTACGGGCCTGTCTCGGAAGGTGTGTGTGTGTGTGTGTGTGTGTGTGTGTGTGTGAGTGATTCACTTGTTCGTTGTCAAGAAATACGTGGAAATGTTTAATGAAAATTGCAACATTGTACATTATGCAGGCCCGCAATTTTCTTTTTTTGAAAATGTCATGAACTTTTGCCATGAAACCTTTGTTAACCTATATCAAATTTAACCAGTTCGGACCTTATCCCAGCGAAAAGGCGGATTCTTTCGACCTCCCCCCCCCCCCCCGAGCTCCCCCCCCTGGCTACGGGCCTGTTGTGAAACAAATCGAATTGAATCATTTTTTTCAGCAAACTACCGTTACATGGACGACAGCACGGATGATTGCAGTGACACTATCTACATGAGCGATGGTCAAACGGAAATCGTCTCAGCTGCATCGGGCAGCAGCATGTCCTACTCCAGTTCGTCTTACTGCTATTTGTATTTTCGAACCAGAGATAGTTCCGCCACAATGAAGGTCAACGTGACTCAACTGAGCCTCTATAGTTATGGCACCCTGAAGTTTTATGACAGCCGTTATACGTCTTCAAGTCTAGTACGTTAATATTTTTTGAAAGTCTTATTCTAGTGTTGAATTGCCCGAGTCAATTGTTGAAATGCAATTCACGTGAAAAGCCTAATATTCCAGAAGAAGTAAGCTTACATATTTATCAACTTACATATTTATCTAACTGTATTTGTACATTTTTATCTAACAATTACCAGCATAGCTGAGGCACGAATATGTTATTCCGTTGATAAATAGATGCAGTTTTTATTCTTGACAATACCCGTATTTTGATATGAGGTATAATACTATGAAATATTTATTTACGTTCATGGGATACTTAGGGCGCATTCAGAAAAAGTTGATCCGTGGACTAACAGATCCGCGTGTCAAATATGGCCGGCCCACTTGAAAGCTTGCCGCATAACCCCCAATAAACTGGGCATAGATTCCCCGCAGGGATCACGCCGCAGGCTTTCAAGTGGGTCGGCCATATTTCATCCACGGATCTGTTAGTCTGCAGATCAACTTAAGTACTTATGTAGGCTACTATGGGCCGGAGGCCTTGAAAAACGGAATAAATTATTATTATATCAACTTCAGTTGTGAATACGGCCATATTCACACCGATTCCAATGTCGATTTCATATTAATCTACACTTTATTTTTCAGTTGAAGGAGTACAGTTATTCAGATTATATTGGATCGTCAGCTGATACCTTCTACACATCGGGGCAGTATCTTTCCGTGAGACTTTACCGTAGCTCCTCCTCCAGCCATCGCTTCACCTTCAAGGTGTCAGTTGGTAAGTGTACCTACTTCCGCTTCCTGTCCTCTCAGACTGGGTTCCCATCCCTAGATCGATCTAACAGGATCGATCCATCTCCGCGGGGTCTCTCGCTAAATTGCTTTCAGACCAAACGGCTTAGATGTCTGGGACGTCCACTAAAGCTGTTAAACTATAGTTAATTACCCCCTATTAGCCTCAGCAGGCGTGACAGACATCTAAGCTGCCCAAGTTAATTGCAATTAAGCGAGAATCCCCCTTGGAGATAGTTCAATCCAAAGTTAGTACGATAGGGTCTGGGAATGGTCTTTCAGACACTCTGCCAGTCTCAAATTCCCCACTGTTAGATGCCTTAAAATGACATTGGTTTTTTGGAATAAAAATAAATCTTTCATCACAGGCTTATCGTCACCAAGACACTTTGATATCGACAGTGTAAATCAAAGCCATGGCAAACAAGAAATTATTGAAAAAAATCTTATCTTCGTGTGAATTAATATAAAACAATGGAGTTTAGCACAAACATGATGCTGTCATCTAGTGGGAAATATCGTGGTGATAAGTTATTAAAGTATGCAAATAATTTGTGTATTTTTTTCCGGTAGTATTTGTTAACCAGGCAGTCTTTCCCCTTTGATAAATCTTAGCCTTTAAAAATCTTCAATAGATTCATCATTCATGTTTATGCAGAGAATCTGTTATGTTTCTGTAGAAGTGTTCTTTTAAAAAACGCTCAAGTTTGACGATGTTACTAAAAGGAATTAGATATCTTATTCCTTTGCACTATATTCTAAATAATCAAATTTGTCATTTATTTCAGTTCCACCGGGTTTGTCAAGCGGTGCCATAGCGGGCATCGTTCTTGGTTCACTGGCTGCCGTCGTTGTTCTGTTAGTAATTGTGATTAAAGTTTGCTCATCATCCAAAAAGTCATCCCCAAGAACTCGGATCAGACCGCGTGAGTTTCTTTTCATATACCGTTCGTTTTGCTGAGAGAGAGTCGAGAGAGAGAAGGAGGGGGAGTTCAATTAGACGGGGGATGAAAAAATGGGCTTAGAGAAATAGGATGTTTGGGACTGGTGCTTATCGAATATGTATAATAAAAAGTACTCTGGGAATATTGTTGTCACTAGGAAACCCGTTTTGTGTCTGTCTTCCAGATTATCCTCCCCTCCACCCCTCATACACGTTTTTTTTTTACGTTTTTTTTTCACCATAAATAATTTTAGTGAGCCAATTTTGCTGAATTTTTGTTTGTGTAAATATTTCTTCACCTGCAGGTATTTCTTAGATTTAAAAACGCCCAGGTAAATTATACGATGCACTAGAACGCCATTGATCGTTTGTATAATTTTTTCAAAATGTGATCGTATGTCTTTCGTAGATAACACACGCAATCTCACCACCACTGCCTCGACGGTCAACTACACCACCACCTCAGGACAGATGGGAATGCAAACCCAACCGTATGGCGGATTTGCCTCTCAGGGCCCCGCCTACCCCCCGCCGTCACAAGCTTATGGACCAACCACATCCATGGACTCCGCCTACCCCCCGCCGTCACAAGCTTATGGACCAGTCACATCGCTGGACCCCGCCTACCCTCCGCCGTCACAGCATTTCTCCGCCCCTCCACCTTCTTACACGGATGCTACTGGAGGTGATGGCCTATACGCCCCGCCTCCGCCACCGCCTTCGTACTGCTCAACGCTTAATCAAACAGACTCTGCATACAAACCTGGGTTTTCGTAGGGTGATGTTGCGTAGGGGAGGTCCCAGAGATCGACAGAAGAGACGTGTACAGTTAGACCCACACGTGTAAATATTTTCTGCAAATTTAAATGTGCAGGTAATGTGCATGTGTGCAACACAAAATTGCCGTAGGACTGAAAATGACTCGAGCGTATGATGTGCCTTATCTGAATGCCCGAGTCCCATTCACCGGGGAGTTCCTTCTGTGCCAAATGTTTTCCAGGAGAAGGTCCTGAGACGCGGTCGATTCTAAAGATCTCCATCTTATCCTTATGAGCCACAGCATACATGACAGTCACTAAAGTGAAGAATCGCTTCCAAAAGGACAAGATTTGCCTTAAGTACAAGACAAACCAAATGTAATGGCTCGTTTTTATTTATTATATCAATTTTGGTGGAAGGGTTCATGTACAAAGTACGTGTAAAATTTTGCTTTAACTATGTCCCTATTATATAGCTGCAGTATTACCCGCTTGCGTTGATGACATTCTGCTCCAAGACCCTCTGATCTGTAGGCCCTATATACAGTAAAAGTTAACTACACGAAGGCCATGTGTATATTAATCTATCAAAAGAGCAAATGTGTGCTAAACGTGTCCAAAACGTCCAGTGTTATGCCAAAATGTGATCAAACGACCGCATTTTTATCAGAAGACTAACTCGTCCGCCAATCAGTTATGGCGACCCACTTCAAAGCTTGTCGTCTTATCTCCTAATAGACACTGAAAAGATTCCCTGCGGTCATTAAAGTATTTTAGTATTTGATCCGCGGACTAGTTTGTCCGATGTTGCGATTGCAGCCTAAAAGTTATCTAAAAGTTTGCGGTGCAGCACGATTACTGCTTAGTTAGCAAGAGTTAGTGTAGCAGGGAACCAAGGATTGATTACCCTTTACCGGGACCTCAGGTTGATTTTCACTACATATTAACCGATATGTTCTTGGTTAATACATGACAATTTTCTCTGCTCTGGCCCTGGTAGAGAGTATGGATTAATTATGTTTTCTGTGAATTTTTTAACGGTACCACACTAGCCATACATGTAGTACCCAATAGATACATGAATGTTATAGCCAGATACTATATTTTTTTTGACGAGGTTTGGTTGCATTTTTTTGTCTATGAATTATGACTTTTTAAAGCTTGCTGATCATTCGTCATTAAATTCGTGACTCTAAACCCAGTATTATATGTTTTTATATATATATTATATGTTTATATATATGTAAAAGAATATGAGTATCTTATAAACAAGATTTTGTACATGTAGGTCTGTGTTAAAACACATGTATGTGGGATATTTACAATATATAAAACGAAGAGGAAAATTAGTTATCAAAGGAGTGCAAACGTTTGTCAATCGTGTTGCAAATATATAATCAAATTAAACGTCACTGTGAAATTATTTTGATAATTATAATTCTTCGCCAGACACATGCAATGTCTATTTTCTAAATTCTATTTTCTATTCGCGGTATGTCTTATGATCACGGTCTGTGCCTTGAATATNTATATTATTACTATATACAGTAAAAGTTAACTACACGAAGGCCATGTGTATATTATTACTATATACAGTAAAAGTTAACTACACGAAGGCCATGTGTATATTATTACTATATACAGTAAAAGTTAACTACACGAAGGCCATGTGTATATTATTACTATATACAGTAAAAGTTAACTACACGAAGGCCATGTGTATATTATTACTATATACAGTAAAAGTTAACTACACGAAGGCCATGTGTATATTATTACTATATACAGTAAAAGTTAACTACACGAAGGCCATGTGTATATTATTACTATATACAGTAAAAGTTAACTACACGAAGGCCATGTGTATATTATTACTATATACAGTAAAAGTTAACTACACGAAGGCCATGTGTATATTATTACTATATACAGTAAAAGTTAACTACACGAAGGCCATGTGTATATTAATCTATCAAAAGAGCAAATGTGTGATAAAACATGTCCAAAACGTCCAGTGTTATGCCAAATTGTGATCAAATGGCCGCATTCTTATCAGAAGACTAACTCGTCCGCCAATCAGTTATGGCAACCCACTTTTAAGTTTGCCGTTTTATCTCCTAATAGACACTGAATAGATTCCCCGCGGCCATTAAAGTATTTTAGTATTTAAGTGGGCCGACCGTATGTGATCCGTGGACTAGTTTGTCCGATGTTGCGATTGCAGCCTAAAAGTTATGTAAAAGTTTGCGGTGCAGCACGATTACTACTTAGTTAGCAAGAGTTAGGGACCGTTCTCACAGATATTTGGACCAATCTATCTCACTGGGGAGTCTCACTAAATTGCTATCAACTTAACCGGCTTAAATGTCTGTCACGCCTAGTTAAGCTGTTAGGGGGTAATTATCTTTAACCCCTAGCTAATTCGGTAGGCGTGACAGACAATTAAAAAGGTTAGTTGACAGCAATTTAGTGAGACTCCCCAGGGACTTAGACCGATCCAGATGGATCGATCTAGGCATGGGAACCCAGTCTTAGTATAGCAGGGAAGCAAGGAGTGATTACCCTCTACCAGGACCACAGATTGATTTTCACTACATATTAACCGATATGTGCTTGGTTAATACATGACAATTTTCTCTGCTCTGGCCCTAGTAGAAAGTATGGATTAATTATGTTTTCCGTGTCTTTTGAGCATAACCACACTAGCCATACATGTAGCACCCAATAGATACATGAATGTTATAACCAGATACCAAATTTATTTATTGACGAGGTTTGGTTGCATTTTTGTGTCTGTGAAATTGGCCTTTTAAAGCTTGCTGACTATTTTTCATAAAATTCATGACTCTTAACCCAGTATAATATGTTTTTTATATATAAGTAAAGGAATACGAGTATCTTATAAACAAGATTTTGTAGGTCTGTGTTAAAACATAAGCGGGATATTTACAATATATAAAACGAAGAGGAAAATTAGTTAACAAAGGAGTGCAAACGTTTGTCAATCGTGTTGCCAATATATAATCAAATTAAACGTCACTGTGAAATTATTTTGATAATTATAATTCTTCGCCAGACTTGAAGTGTGTGTAATGTGTATGCTTCGTGCCCGGGCGATGCTGCCAACGTTGGCCTCTCAAAATGTGTAGATAATATAAAGTATGTCGTCTTTCACGCAGTGAACGATTTCATAAGCCGTAAATACAAAGAGAATGTGTACGTAAAATACGTGAAATACGCGTAAGTGCTTCGTGCTGGTATTCCTGTAAAAGGCATTTTACTCGACTTAATACAAAAGCCAGACTTACAATAAGTGACCTTTTTTTATCAAACCATGAAATATATATATATGACAACAGGTAATATCTGAAAAAATATTCGAAAGAAAAAATCATTATCGTCAAACCACATTGCGTAAATATACATATTAAGACAGGTATTGTACATTATATACTGTATATTCCGTACAAGCGTTTGTGATAAACGTGTCATAATTTTACATGTGACAACAATGGATACCAGTTTACCAGTATTCTATTCTTCAATATCATATTGGAGATTCGTATACAGTATTAACGTAGTCATTATCAAGGATATACCTATTAACTGGAAGTCAAGATATTTTTTAAATATTAAAATCTTAAAAGAAACATATTTGTCCACTTTAGTAATTGTGTCACACATATAGTTTTGTAATAAAGTGTAATTGACTACCATAAAATCAATCTCTCGCTTTTTGTCAAGATCTATGAGATCCATTTAAGGTCAAATTATTGCCATAAGTACCGTACAAATGCCGCCATACCGTTTCGAATAGCATAACGTAAAGAAATACCAGTAGGTACTATATCATAGTCCCCGAAAATTATATTTGAACGCATATTTTCTGCTTTCTTTTTGTATATAAACCTCTGGCGTTTTCGGTACGTCATTTATATAACTGTGCGCTTCAGTTATGTGCCTCGCATTAGGACATACTACATGTATACTTATACGTCAGTCTGATGGATTTGTGCGAATTAACTGGGGGCAGGGATAAATAGGTTAATTTGCGAAGGATAAGTAGGTCAATTAATGACATCTTCTTTAAAGAAGACGCAGTTTAAAATCTTTATTGCTGACCAAGTGATTAATTTTGTTTATGTCTTCGAAAGTCGGCATCATTTGAGTCGTATCAGAAAAAGAAAATAGAATTGGTTTATATCCCCCTGTGTACCATGAAAATGTCTCCCCCAAAATGTGACTCCCCAGTCAGATTTTCATCATGAAAATGTGACTCCCCAGTCAAATTTTCATAATGAAAATGTGTATCCCCTCATGAAATTTTGACTTCCCCCCCCCCCACAAAACTTCTAAGTTTATTAAAATAAATGTTATTTTATTTGAGTATATGACTTTTATGTTGTAGTTTGCACAATGGAGGATACATAGGCAATTTTTATTAGTTTGCAGGTGAAAATTTTAATGATAAAATAAGAAAATTAAAAAAATGTATATTTTACCACCCAATGACTCCCCTTTGAAAAAGCTATTTAATATTTGATATTTGGTGATCATTTCAACACCTTTCCCTTAAATATCATTATGAAGAATATATTGGAAGTATTTGAAAGTTGGTGGTAAAAAATTGGGTGCAAAAAATGAAAATTCATGAAAAATCTTCATATTCATGTCCATGGGATTTGGACTACCATGAAGAAAAGGCCATATTTTATATTTAGTCACCATACCATTGTTTTCCACATGGTTTGCATTGTGACATATATTTTGTTAGTGTTTAAAAGTTTGGTGGTGAAATTTTGGTGAAAATTGATAATTTTTTTTTAACAAGTTTCAATCTTACTTCCTGTAGGATTTGGACTCCCATAGCCTTTTCACAGTTAATTGGGTGGAAAATACACATTTTTAATTTTCTTATTTTTTATGAACATTTTCAAAAAGTGCAAATGTATCCTCCATTATGCATACTACAAGATATAAGTTATAAATACTCAATTAAATATGATTTATTAAGTTTTGTGAGGGGGAGTCAAAATTTCATGGGGGAAGTCAGATTTTCATCATGAAATTTTGACTGGGGGAGTCAGATTTTCATGGGAGTCAGATTTTCATGTTCCACCGGTACTGAACGATACAGAGAATCATATGTAACTTTGAGTTTGCAACATTATGTAAGGCAAAGAAGCACCCGTTTTATTATAAGATCTTCATAATAATTTAATTGAGCACAGATATGTTTTACATTAAAAGCTCTCAAACCACCTCAAGTAATAGAAAGTGTTATATAACATACATTTTAAGGCAATACAGGTATATACAGCTGTACTTGACGCCACCATTTGCGTTTTAAGATATACGTATTAAAAACATTGCTATATAGCAGTCACAGTCTGCGCAGGGGGTGCAGTAATGATGATTGACCTTGTTTGGCCCCTTGCTGACCAAGGTTTGACATAAAGTGCGCAGAATGTCTTAGAAACAGGTCAAGCACCTTGTTTATCACGTTGCACCCCGTCACACCTTGTTTACCAAGTTATAATCGTGATTTTAGACACGACCTATTTGTACAGTTTGCCGCATTAGGGGAATCCCCTTAAATACAGTGTAATGATCTAGGCAGACAAACGCACCGGTATAATAGAATTCCTGCCAGTTTCTTCCACACACCTTAAAAATAGTAACAAATCTTTGACTCTCGATATCTTTTTTATACTTTGGGACTGTAAGCGGCTCATCTATTTACCGCAAACTAAAACAAATACGGCGTAAGAACCATAGAAAGTTACCAAACTGCGTAGTAAGGCGTACACAATTATTGATACCTGTGCCAACATTTCATTTAATTTATTTATTACCTCGGTCTCTTGAGGACCATCAGTCTAGTACTGGTACAAATGTTACAACGAATATAGTTACAACAACTATAGGGTTATTACAAAGAATAATTATAATAGTAATAATCGCAATCATAATCATCATAACAATAATAACAGTACCTGTACTAAATTAAATTCATGAGCACTTAAATAAATAAACTACTTAAATAAATCAAATTAAATCAAATTGAATCAAATTAGATCAAATTAGATTAGATCTCATGCCGAAGCCTTCCTGCTTGGCTAAGATATCGTGCCAGGTTACATAATACTTTCTTACTGGAAGAATTCAGCAGGAGAACCAATATACATACACACAGGGAACTTTCTTAAGGAGCATTCACAACAAATTGATCTGCAGACTTATGCGGCTTGCTTTCAAAAGCACGCCATACTAGTTAGTCCGCGGACCAAATTGGTTGTTAATGCTCCCTTAGAATGTTGGCTTTAAAATGAAAGCAAAACAATTCACTGGTTTATCAGGAACATCATAAAAATATCACGTTTTTATTTGCCTTTTTTTAAGGCAGAAGTCTTGTACGAAATCCTCTGACCAGCAGAAGATCTTGGAACGAAGACAAAATTTTATAAAATGTTGCATGTAATAAGATCATACAATACATCTTAATTACATAAATGTTTGGCGATTAATTGAGTAGTACTAACTGGGCTGGTCCAGGTATGACTATGCAGGAAAAGTGGGAAAAAAATCAAAGAGAAACGATTTGGAAAAAAATCCCATTTTAAATGTCAGTATGTAAGTTGTAAAGATATGGAAAACTAAGTCATACACGTATATGCACATNTAATTACCCCCTTACAGCTTGTAGTAGTTGTGTGACGCTTAAGCCGGCAAAGCTGACAGTAATCTAGTGAGACTCCCCACAGGGATAGTTCGATCTAAAAATCTATGGAAATAGGGTGTAAGTGACCTTTTTTTATCAAACCATGAAATATATATATATATATATATATATATATATATATATATATATATATATATATATATATATATATATATATGACAACAGGTAATATCTGAAAAAAATATTCGAAAGAAAAAATCATTATCGTCAAACCACACTGCATAAATATACATATTGAAACAGGTATTGTATATTATATACTGTATATTCCGTACAAGCGTTTGTGATAAACGTGTCATAATTTTACATGTGACAACAATGGATACCAGTTTACCAGTATTCTATTCTTCAATATCATATTGGAGATTCGTATACAGTATTAACGTAGTCATTATCAAGGATATACCTATTAACTGGAAGTCAAGATATTTTTTAAATATTAAAATCTTAAAAGAAACATATTTGTCCACTGTAGTAATTGTGTCACACATATAGTTTTGTAATAAAGTGTAATTGACTACCATAAAATCAATCTCTCTTTTTGTCAAGATCTATGAGGAGTTGAATTAATTACACCAGATCCATTTGAGGTCAAATTATTGCCATAAGTACCGTACAAATGCCGCCATACCGTTTCGAATAGCATAACGTAAATAAATACCAGTAGGTACTATATCATAGTCCCCGAAAATGATATTTGAACGCATATTTTCTGCTTTCTTTCTGTTTCTGGCGTTTTCGGTACGTCATTTATATAACTGTGCCCTCTTCAGTTATGTGCCTCGCATTAGGACATACTACATGTATACTTATATACGTTAGTCTGCTGGATTTGTGCGAATTAACTGGGGGCAGGGATAAATAGGTTAATTTGCGAAGGATAAGTAGGTCAATTAACGTCATCTTCTTTAAAGAAGACGCAGTTTAAAATCTTTATTGCTGACCAAGTGATTAATTTTGTTTATGTCTTCGAAAGTCGGCATCATTTGAGTCGTATCAGAAAAAGAAAATAGAATTGGTTTATATCCCCCTGTGTACCATGAAAATGTCTCCCCCAAAATGTGACTCCCCAGTCAGATTTTCATCATGAAAATGTGACTCCCCAGTCAAATTTTCATAATGAAAATGTGTATCCCCTCATGAAATTTTGACTCCCCCCCCCCACAAAACTTCTAAGTTTATTAAAATAAATGTTATTTTATTTGAGTATATGACTTTTATGTTGTAGTTTGCACAATGGAGGATACATAGGCAATTTTTATTAGTTTGCAGGTGAAAATTTTAATGATAAAATAAGAAAATTAAAAAAAAGTGTATATTTTACCACCCAATAACTCCCCTTTGAAAAAGCTATTTAATATTTGATATTTGGTTATCATTTCAATATCTTTCCCTTAAATATCATTATGAAGAATATATTGGAATGTATTTGAAAGTTGGTGGTAAAATATTGGGTGCAAAAAATGAAAATTCATGAAAAATCTTCATATTCATACCCATGGGATTTGGACTACCATGAAGTAAAGGCCCTATTTTATATTTAGTCACCATACCATTGTTTTCCACATGGTTTGCATTGTGACATATATTTTGTTAGTATTTGAAATTTTGGTGGTGAAATTTTGGTGAAAATTGATAATTTTTTAAACAAGTATTTTAATTATAATCTTTAGATTAAAATCTTACTTCCTGTAGGATTTGGACTCCCATAGCCTTTTCACAGTTAATTGGGTGGAAAATACACATTTTTAATTTTCTTATTTTTTATGAACATTTTCAAAAAGTGCAAATGTATGCTCCATTATGCACACTACAAGATATAAGTTATAAATACTCAATTAAATATGATTTATTAAGTTTTGTGAGGGGGAGTCAAAATTTCATGGGGGAAGTCAGATTTTCATCATGAAATTTTGACTGGGGGAGTCAGATTTTCATGGGAGTCAGATTTTCATGTTCCACCGGTACTGAACGATACAGAGAATCATATGTAACTTTGAGTTTGCAACATTATGTAAGGCAAAGAAGCACCCGTTTTATTATAAGATCATCATAATAATTTAATTGAGCACAGATATGTTTTACATTAAAGGCTCTCAAACTACCTCAAGTAAAAGAAAGTGTTATCTAACATAGCCTACATTTTAAGGCAATACAGGTATATACAGCTGTACTTGACGCCATCATTTGCGTTTTAAGATATACGTATTAAAAACATTGCTATAGCAGTCACAGTCGGCGCAGAGGGTGCAGTAATGATGATTGACCTTGTTTAGTACCTTGTTGATCAAGATTTGACATAAAAAGCGCAGAATGTCTTAGAAACAGGTCAAGCACCTTGTTTATCACGAGTCCGTCACACCTTGTTTACCACGTTATAAGCGCGATTTTAGACACGGCCTATTTATAGTTTGCCGCATTAGGGGAATCCCCTTAAATACAGTGTAGAAATCTGGGCAGAAAAACGTACCGGTATAATAGAATTCCTGCCAGTTACTTCCACAAGACCTTAAAAATAGTAACAAAACTTTGACTCTCGATATCTTTTTTATACTTTGGGACTGTTTTATCTCAGCGCCGCAAACTAAAAGAAACTCGACGTAATAACTATAGAACGATACCGAACTGCGCAGAAAGGCACACACAATGATTGACACCTGTGCCAACAGATAGCACAGGGAACTTTCTTAAGGAGCATTCACAACAAATTGATCTGCAGACTTATGCGGCTTGCTTTCAAAAGCGCCATACTAGTTAGTCCGCGGACCAAATTGGTTGTGAATGCTCTCCTTGAGTGTAAGCATTAAAATGAAAGCAAAACAATTCACTGGTTTATCAGGAACATCATAAAAATAGCACATTTTTATTTGCCTTTTTTTAGGCAGAAGTCTTGTGCCAAATCCCCTGACCAGCAGAAGTTCTTGGAACGAAGACAAAATTTTATAAAATGTTGCATGTAATAAGATCATACAATACATCTTAATTACATAAATGTTTGGCGATTAATTGAGTAGTACTAACTGGGCTGGTCCAGGTATGCCTATGCAGGAAAAGTGGGAAAAAAATCAAAGAGAAACGATTTGGAAAAAAAATCCCATTTTAAATGTCAGTATGTAAGTTGTAAAGATATGGAAAACTAAGTCATACATGTATAAGCACAGCACACATAAATACAATATAAACCAGTAGAAAAATATAATTATATATACAATAAAATATACAAATAAATCTTACTTACATTAAGATATGGATTATAAAAAAGCTGCACTAGAAGTAAATTGAAATAGCACGTCAATAGGAACGATAGATGAATATAAATTAAATAATTATCTTATGGAATTTGTACAGTTTGATGTGGTGAGAATCCATTGTTTCATTGTCGTTGACATTGTTTTCCCACTCACTCACTCACCACTGAAGTGATGTACTGGACTAGAATACATTACAGTTAGGAACTAAAGGGCAGAAAACAATACAATAGTGATTAAAATGACACGGTAAATTTCCTTTTGCATATCCTGCTGTCTTTGACTTGATATACAGGTGTAAATGTGCATTTGATTTGCGCTTTGTAATTAAAGTTTTTTTTATCACAGACTTAATTTGACACGCGACTGGCGCAAGGATTATGTTTTCACTTCACATTGACGGAAATAGCCACACAGTTATCAATTATGACAGTGCAACCTCCAAACACATGATTCGTTTTTTACTTCGTTCATTCTTAATATTAGACCTCTCTCTCTCTTTCTACAGTATATATATATATATATATGTAAGTGTGTGTGTGTGTGTGTGTGAAAACTAAGTTCAATGTTTGGAGGTTGTGGATTCTCAAGACGAGCACTCATCCATGTGTTCTAGCAGGTCTAGATGACTTGCGGCATCGAAATACTTGTGGCACGTTGGGCATCGAAGCCCTTCACTCACTTCAGTCCTCAAACCAAAACCACCAACGTCTTGTTTACTTCTCTCAATCGCAAGTTGGAGCTCTGCTTCAGAATCAAGTCTCTCGTCAGCAACACCGCCGACGTCACAGCTATGTGATATAGCGGGATCTTCTGATTGGTTTAACTCGTGCTGCTTGAGATTTTCGTCCAGTTTTTGGGAGACACTGCCTGTGGCCGCTGGACCATCAATGACGTCACAATCTTCTTCTAAATCCCCGGTGTCTGGGACAGTGCGGCCCCAGCAGGTCTCCCCACTTGGCCCTCGGCTACGTAGCCCGTATGGTGTCTGCAAATAGAAGGTGAAACTGCTTTAGTTTGCGGGTTTATTAGTTAATGCACAAAGCGAGACGAATGTTAACATTAAGTATAAACGCCCTCTGTATACCTTAAGTAGGCGTCTGGCAAATGAAAATATTTAACGGAAGAACGGAATGGTTTTCCTTCATAATGAAACATTAAAGGATTTATACTGCTACTAATGATACTACCACTAGGCCTACTACTTCAACTACTACTAATTCGACTACTACTACTTCTTTTTCTACTACTACTGCTACTACAATGTAGGCCTACTACAACTGCTACTAAAAAGTTATGTAATAAAACTCTCACAATAATTATGTTATACAACTTCAAAAAACACAAACCTGGTTTCCGTAATATTTCTGTTTGTAGTTAATCAGCGCAGCCTCTCGTTGGTTGGCCATAGCCGTTGCTGCTGAATTTTCATACATGTCAAGCTGTAAAGAGAAAATGTGACTTCAAGGAGACGTCAAAAAGTCTCGTGTGAAAGATTGACATGCCACTAATATACATGTATACGTGCTCTGTTCATCAGTGGAAAATTTTCTATTACGGGAAAATTACAATTTTTCGTTTCCTTTCGTCTTTCGATATCATCGAATTACCTTCATCCCATTTACAAAATCACAAAAGGACAACAATAAAAACAAATGTCTAATTGCCAAAACAACAATGTCGATGTAAAATGTTATGACTTACCTGGCGTTTCAGTAATTCCAACTGTGTCTCCAAATCTGAGATCTTGGACTGTGCGAGTTCACGATCTCGTCTCTCCGCCTCGAAATCTTCGGTACACAGCCGAATCTGCTGTTTCAGCATCTCTGTGATGTCATCTTCAGCTCTGGAAGCGTTGCTCGATAGGTGGCGCACCTGTTCCTCCAGTTCTGCGATTCTTTGTTCTTTTTGGTTACATAACAGCTTGAACTTTCGTAGTTCGTCTTCAAGCTGCAATAATCGTAAATAAATTAATAAATGAACAATAATGATAATAATGCATCTTTCTACGAAGAAACGATCGCCAGCAAATCTGAACAACATCATCGACTCTTTTGAACAGGACTGCTTTATAATTCACTTCGAAAGTTCTTACAGCAAAGTTTGTTCGGACTGCTAAGAGAAGGCTTTAGAATGTTCATGTAGAAGTTTAAATCTGTTAAACCAACAAGAATTATGGTCAGTTTAAAAACCTCGCATGTGAAAGGGTGACGCCATATTGGCTTTTATTCCCCAGACATTGAAAAACGAATATGGAAGTCTAATTTAGTTGTCTCTTGTGCTTTCTAACTGAGTCAACATGTTTCCCTTTTCCGATTTATATTAGTATTAGGTTTGAAAAGGTCCAATCATCAACATTATCAGGACTTTCATTTTAACTTCCTAGTTGATCTGGAAATCACAATTTGCGGGTGAAATAGTTTTATTTCAACATGACTCAATTATCTTATCAGCTTACCGCTTCTTTTTCCTCCTGAATCGCATTCACTTTCTCTTTCGTTGAGATGAGTATTTTATCAATTTCTCTCTGCGTGTCCTCGTTAAGTTCACCTACTGGCGACTGTTTGGATCGGTCAACTTGACATTTTAAGTTGGATATTTGCCTCTGAAGCGTGACGACAAACGCATCCCTCTGGGAGTTATATACTTGCCACTTCATATTTGCCTGTACAACCTGATATTAGAAAAAAATGAACAACAACCATGTTTTACATTGAGGTAGCCAATGCTGGAATGTTACGGAGAAGATTAAGTAGGAAAATGAGAGCGTTGTGCTAAATAAATAAATAAATAAATAACACGAACTTTGGACAGACAAAGTTGTTGCTAAATATCTATGATGGTTTGCTATAAATACTGAAAAAGCACCCCTATTTGAGTCACGCGTGCAGGTGAATGATGGTTGCGTGTCCTCGGCCTAATCAAACTCTGGACCTTGAACTTTCGATCATAGCATTCAGATTTCAGGGCCGTAGCCTCCGGGGGGGAGGGGGGGCAGGGGGGGCAGCCCCCCCTAGGATTTGAGGTGCAAAAAAATAATTGCAAAGGTAAAAAAAATAATTGTAAAGTTGGTATCAATTCTGTGAAAAAATGCACTCATGGCCACTAGACAATCGTTCAATAATCTGTTTACAAAGGTGTACTGTTTTTAGCAACTCAGTTCATGCCAAAAAGCTCATCCTCCCTTAGGCAGCTATCCCCCAGGCCAATTGGCGTGTTTTGTTAAAGAATGACTGTACTTATAGCAAAATGAACCCACAATTTCTGACTTCTGATTGAGCAATAAATAACAGTTAAAATGCACCAGAATGCAGTTTTATATATAGAGGTTATAAAAATTTTCCACACCGTGTATAAAACCATTCACGCCGACCTTGCGTGAGTACGCATTGACTTTGTACATGCAAATAAGGTAAACAGATAACTTTATGGACTCAGCCCCATTGCCCTCATCAACAATTGCTATCATGACTATGTTGTTGTAAATTTCCAGCCAAAATATGTCGAAATTCCAAGTACGTCTTCTCTCGGGGAAAATGTCAGGAAGTAATAAATTTTCAACTTCCCCTTATCCAATAGGCTGTATTGATATAAATATAAAAGTGAGTCTTATCTAAAGGGAAGAAATTGGTAACTTTTCTTACCTCAGTTAACTGATTTCGCAGATTGGCAATTTCACTTTCATAGCGCTGTCTTTCCTGAAGAAAGGAAATTGAAAATGTTAAAAACTTGATCGTTCCCATTAAACCTAAATTAAAGGCAACGCTATGCATATATTCTAAAGAATATTTTTTTCACAATAAAAAAGTAAATGTACAAGGGAAAACGGATCTTATTTTGAATGTGTATTGACTCGAAGTAAACCCATAGTTTAAGAATAAATAGCCAAATTATTATTCTTTAATTTACCTTTTCAACAACGTCTTCCTTTTGTTTCTTTGAGTCCCCAGTTGCTCCCTTCCTCTCTAGCTGAATAACCAACGCCCTACATTGCTCTGCGGTCGCCCTCAACTGTTGCTTCAGCGTCTCTGTTTCTAGACTTAAAGACTGGTTTTCCTGTTCGCAATGGTGGCAGCTATGTTTCAGGTTTTTTAATTCTTCTCGAAGTCGGTGGATTTCTTGTAATTTCTCGTCTGGTGATGCGGCAAGGAGATGTTTCAATTGTTTGATTTCTTCCATCAGAGTTTCGTTCTTTACCTGAAAATACCACAACCTAAGGTAAGAAAAGCAATAAGTGATTTTTTGTATTTGTGTTTGGGGGGGGGGGGGGTACCTGAAGTTTTTACTATATTTTTGCAATTCTCCCCCCCCCCC